TCTCGGCGTTCCTCTTGGTCCCGCTGCCTCTGGTGGCCAACGCATCGAGTACGACTGCCGAATCTCCGACGACGAGCGCCAACTCCCGTACTCGACTCCCATGTATGTCCGTGAAGGTCAGTAATCGTCGCCATTTGACAAGTTTTTCTTGAAAGAGGTCTTTGACTAACAAATAAATCAGGCGCCATCATCCCCAAGGTCGGCGTCAGGGACTACGTTGCCGATCCCAGCACGACCCCTCAAAACGCCAACCCCATCACCGTCCACGTCTACCCCGGAAAGGACAACGTAAGGACTGAGATCCCTGCTTCTATCAAGACTTGTTCTGACTGAAAAACCTACAGATCTACGACATGTATCTCGACGACGGCATCTCCAGGGACAGCGCGCCAAAGAACTCTACATTGGAGACCGCCGTTGGCGCGCGTCCCTGGTACGGCGAGGCACACCACTACGACGGTCTTGCTGATGCCCAGGCTAACGACAACTACACAAAGGTCCAGATCAAGCAGGTACGTCGCATTCATCTCGTTCTAAAATTCTACAAGACGTGGACATTGTCATTCAGGAACAGAAAACATGCTGACAATCACGGTAGTTCACCCAAAAGAGACTCTCCGACCAAGAGGACTTCGGAAAGTACACCCGCAGACTCACAGCCAACGCGCCCCACAACAAGTTCGGCGCCGAGGCGTCCAAGTACATTGGCACAGACTACACCTTTGTCTTTTGGCACCGCGGAGAGAGCAACCTGGACTCCATCAAGGTCAACGTCACGGGCGCGGACCTCCACTACAACGTCAACCACGGCGTCAGAGCGACCATTGTTACTGTTCCCATTTCCGCGGTTCACTCGGAGAAGGGAGTCGAGATCACGTTGGAGTTTGACGGGGACTATTAAAGGCTGGTCTGAGGGCTTGAGAAAGATCATGCCGGAGATGCTTGGTTACTCGAAGGGTACATGTTCCCCGTTGTGCTTTTCGTACCAGTAGTTGTGCTTCATGGCGAAATAATGCCCAACCTATCGTTTATTCTCCTCTGTAGCAATACATTGCGCCATATGTTCGATGAGGCTGCAGCTGAGTGCCCTTGGGCAATTGACAGCCTACAGAAAGTAGCGAAAGGTGAGCAGTGGGAGTCTTTTAATTCAGAAAGGTCTAGGGTACATCCAGCTCAACCAAGCTCAGCCGTAGCAAATCATTCAGTACAGGCTCATTATCAACACATTCGAAAAGACTGAAACCCATGTCAGCCTGAGAAACCAGTTTGCAGACGTCTAAATCCCTGTCGTCGAAAGTCTGCCGCAATGAAGTTCTATCCCGCATGATCACTTGTCTCGTAAAACGCCAGACCAACCAATCCTTCCAGCACCGCCGCAAGTTTCATTCATCGTAAGGTTCATAAGAAGGTTGTAAAAGGGGGATCGAGAAGGTATAGAAATAATCGGTCCCTACGCGCCCGGTCCGGAAGGGGCATGGATGCCGTGGAAGCCAATGCCAACGGCAAACTCGCACTCTGCCCTGCCGAGCTCCGTCATGGTCCTGGCATCGAGGCACAAGAGATAACTCGTCTGCGCGGTGCCGTCGAGCACGACGCTCAGAATCACACCGTCGTCTTCGGCCATCTGTCCATCGGTACCATCGGCGCCGCCAGCGGATGAAGAAGGCCGAGGAACAAAGATTGGCTCGCCGGGCGTGTGAGCCGTGGGACACTCCCACATGAGAGCTTCGGCGGTATCGGCGTCCGTCTTGACGATTGTGTCGAGAAGGGTGCTGAGGCCGCGATCCGAGAGACTGTAGACGTAGCGGTGACGTTTCGTCAAGTGCGCAGGGTTGATTGTGGGGAGTTCGCCGGCGTGCGGGGCCGGGATCGAGACCACGAGCTCCGGTGGCGGTGTAGTCGTTACTGTTGTTATCTTTTGTGTTTGTGAGTCGTCGGGTTTGGGGATTCTGAATTTGAAGCGTTGGAGGCTAGCCCAGCCGTTCTTGTAGCGCTTGTTCTCGTCTGTCCAAAACTTCTCGCCGGCAGAGTTGCGATTCATGATGACGTCGTAGTAGAGATTATAGAGAATGTTGAGATTTTGGTAGCCTGCTATCTCGCAATAGACGTCAAGCATGCCGTCGCTGCCGTCGGCCGCCGGCTCCTCAAAGGCGTTTGTGGCATGGAAGAAGAAGCCCGCGGGGGTGTCGAAAGAGGCGACGACGCCGTTCCCCTGGTGGCGATCGATGAAATACCACTTGCATGTGTTGGTCTTGTCGAACGGCACAATGGCGTCTAGAATGTTTCGTTCCCAGGGGACAGAGAGGCCTTTGTAGCCCAAGTGCGACGAGGGAATGCATAGTACGATGAACGATTCTGTGAGGAAGAAACTGTGGATGTAGGCTGGCTTCGCGTCGGGCCCGGCAATAGTTGCAAGAATCTCCGTCTCGCCCGTCGCAAAGCTAGTGCGGAAGATGCGGTAGGTCGACTTCATGGCGAAGGCAAGGTTGAAGTTGTACATGTCGCCGGTGACCGGGTCGCGCTGGGCGTGGGCGCAGGACATGGGGCCGGAGAGAGACGGATGGAGTTTTTCCTGCTTTGCGAGGCCGATGGGTTCCAGGGTCGCTGGGTCAATCTCCATGAGAGGGCTTGAGTCGGTTGATAGCCAAAGGCTGCGGACAGCGTTACGGTGGCCTGGCCCCGCGGGGCCTTGATCTTTCGTATCGAAGCCGGGGACATTTGCGTTGACGGCAACGCAGATATTGGGAGCAGTGCCGCGGGCGAAGACGCCCATAAACTTGCCAAACATCCCGACACAAGGGTCGGCTTTTTGGCCAAAGGTGTAGCGGTTCTGGTGGCCTGCGGCTTGGATGGAGGCGACGAGGTCGTCGGATTGCCGTCTGGAGGAGTAGAGCACGCGGGTCTGACCGCCTGGGGATTCAGGAGGAGTAATGTCAAACTTATGCGTCTGGGCGAAGCCGTCGAACCAGTGGGAAACGTAGTAGGTGCCCTTGGGTGTGTCTTCGATCTTGCAGCTGCCCGGGCCCGTTCTATAGAGGGCGCCGGCGGCCCAGACTGGGATCTGGCCTTGGACGTGCAGTTCGATGGGACCGCGTTCCTCGGTGAGGCCATCGAACTAGAGCTGTTAGCTGGCGTCTTGGAGGGCATTGATGTAAGAGAAGGGGAGGCTCACGCCTGCCTCATTTGGCCATTCTTCGTAGGGCGCCCTGAGACGGTTCTCCTCGAACATTTGAAGGTCTGCTTCCTCGTCTTTGGCGGTACGCCTGACGGTTCTGGCTGGGATCTTGGTGTTGGTAGACATTGTTATGGAGGTCGTAGTCATTTTGGTTGTGGTTGTGGTAGCCATTTTGGGACTTTATCTATGTAAACAGAAATGAATGGGCGACGATTCGGTGGTGCTGGATTTGCAGCTTGGTGTGTGCCGTCTAATTCCAAGGTCAGTGACATTTGCGAGTTGTATACTGAGGCAGAAGTACGCATGAGGTAAGATGAGTAAGAGAGTAGTGAGTGTGTTCACTCACGAATACTGCACGGACAGCAGATGTCGAGTGAAAGACACTCAAGATGAGGCACACCCATGAAAGCTGCCACGTGAACTGGCAGGTATCAACTTACGCTATTTTTCAGCCGGTGTTTGCTAGTTTGCTAGTGACCGGATCGGTGCAAGTGGCCGGTGAGGCTCGGTGTATCGGTGAGGTAGTGTAGTTGTCGTTAGAGTCGGTGAGTTGTGAAAGAAGTGAAGAATCCGCTATGCAAGAGGTGGACAATATTTTGGCCCCCAGGAAGAAGAAGCAAATATTGTTGGTCGGCGGCATCTAATGACCCATGTCAGAGAGGCAGCACAGATGGATGAAACGTAGGCACGATGAGATCCTAGATGAGCTGCAGAGCGGAGATGAGAAAGAGGGAAGAGGATGGCGATCTTTTAAGTAAGGTAGGTAGAATGCATATGTATGTTGACGGGCCATGGGATGGGTCTGCTTACATGACGGTGTTGCTACGCAGGATGTTAGGCGATGTACAAGCATTAAGCGCCGGGAGCATTCATCAAACGGGATGAATGAAGCAGTGCGGCGTGAGTATGTGAGATGTATCTCAGTACTCCGTAAACGTAGGTAGGTGACTGTGAGGGCGATACGGGGGAGACGAGCTGAATGGTGCGAGAGCGAGATACCTACCTACTGTTGCGAGAGGCGAGTAATTATCGACCGGGGGCACAGAAGTGCGGTGAAAACGGTTACGGACGTAGGAGCGGGTGGTTGTTCGGTTAGTTGATGAGGGGTGTGTGTGTATGTGTGTGTGTGTGTGTGTGTGTGTGTGTGTGTGTGTGTGTGTGTGTGTGTGTGGATGTCCAAGGTGAGAGTGAGCAGAGTGAATGAGAAACTTTTGGTCGTCAATGGTCGATCGATACCACTTTACCCGGCGTGTTGGTGAGATGGGACGGGGATTGAGATACCCATGCGCAATCCACGATGCGACCAAGACGGGATTCCGAGTAAGCGATGCGAAGAATCGGATTGAAAAATCTCAGACCCGATCAGACAACCAGGTGGAAAAGCAACGTGATTGCGACAGTCCAGCGGAACGGACGCTAGGAGAAGGGGATTGATTCACAACTCCCAGGATAACTTGACGAGGTAGGTAGCGGAATTCTCATGCAAGCCGTTTTGGAGAAGGCGGCGCGGTCGGGACGGTACGGCCGTAGCAGGGCGGAGGATGGTCAATGTGCGCGGCACCAAGAGGAGCCTATTGATGCGGGCTTTTTACCGAATCCAGACAGCTTCCAAGTTAAGGAAGAGTGGCATACGGAGTAATAGTATGAGCTTTGCAAGCCAGTAAGGGTCTGGGCAGTTCCCGAATGTGTGGTATTGGTGGTGTTGCTAGGTATTGTTGTTGTGTGTTTGGGGTGGCACAAGCGACAAAGTGACATTTAGTGGCGGTGGGTGTTGGTGGTGTTGGTGTTGGTGTGAGCAAAGCGGGAGCGGGAGCGGCTTGTTAAGATGGATGTCGACTGTCTTTACTTTTTCCTTCTTCTCTTGCTGCTTCCCGTCGGCCAGAGTAGATGGGTAAAGTATTGGAGAGAGAGTCAGACATACGCATGAAGAAGTGAGTGGATGGTTCATGTCATCATTGATTCAGACAACGGTGCCAACGGCGGGATTGCAGAAGACCGAGGGTCCCGCTGCACCTGCCATGGCGTCGTCATCGAAAAAAGGGTGACCATTTGGCGCTGCCACAGACAGCATGTGTCAAACTGTGTAGGCCGTCGACGGGTGCAACAACAAGCACAAGCGTGCAACAAGCCTCTCTCTTCCTCTCGGTTTCTCACTCAGCCACACCCGAAACCCCAAAAGCCAAGGTAAAAAGATCTGACCGACCTTTGATATGTCCGGGCCCCTGGCCATGGGGATGGAACGATGAATTATGGAGCTACTGAAGAAGCTTATGTCGGACTTTCAGCTTGGAATGTCAAGTTCCATCGCGTACGGAGTAGATGCTAGTGCGCACTGCGTGCATGTTCATGTCATGTCGGAGCGTGGAGACTTTTTTTTTTTTGGTGAGATGTGCGATCGATGCAACGTGATCATGGAATGATAACCGAGTACTGATATCAGACCGCATTCGCCCAACGTCAGATGAGACCCATGCCACCGTAGATCAATCAATGTGTCTCTCAGTTCTCGGGGTTTCCTGTGTGCGGCCTGCCCATGTCGGACGGCACGCACCTGTCAATGAGCCCGCCCCATTGTTTCGTTTGGAGCTGCTTCGTCCAGCGGTGATGCAGAAAGAAGTTGGTGAACCTCCCAGCCGGGATTGCTTCTTCTTCTTCTTCCGCTTTCTTCTGTTTTTCCCTTGTTGGTTCGTTGGTCGGCTGGTCGATTGGCGATGGCCCAGGTGAGAGGGAGAGTGGAGGTGTTGGTCTGGGCCCTGCACTGTGGGCATTTCACCTCAGCCTGGAAGATTCAGGTTAGGTACGTATCCCCAGTCGCCGGGGACTTTGTGTGGAAGAACATCGGGAACAACAGCGACTCATGGCAGCGGATTAAGCGAGGAAATCCACTCGGCCGGCAGAACTTGGGATTACCTAACCTCCGTTCCGTATCTCAGATCCTGGCACGTGCTTGGTACCTCAGCTTAGGTAAGGCACCGTAAGGCACTCAGGTACCCTGCTACGGCCTCTTCAACTGAGGTGCTGCTCCCACGTTCAAATGTTCCTAGCCCTCAGCACATATTTGGTCACCGTGAGATGTTTCGCCCAGATGCAACGCTCAGCTACATACAGGCCACGAAAACTGATAAACCATATGGCTTCTATAGTGATAGCTTGGCATTCAAGTCAAGTACTTAAGGAAATACGCCTCTGATGCTGCAGCAACGGCTTCCGACCCGATCGCGGCATGGCGGCCCTACAAGAGCTCCGGCTTTATTCCACACCACCTCCGTCAGCGGTGGCTACAGCCAATGGCCTCTCATGGCTCGCCTCGGCCATCCCTATTACTTTAGTACCTTGCCTTACCTACTTGATGTTATCCCATGGACAAGCATGGTAACCACATATATCATTGCCTCTTCTCTCATCGCATGGAGCTGAGACGCGCCTCGTCACACAGTTGTCCTTGTCCCGCCGTGCCCCTATGTGTCAGTTAGCCACGGGTCATCACGGACTACCGCATACTGACAGCGGTGTCACCTACATTAATTCGGCAGTGTATGGCTCACATATCCGCGTGGATCCTCGCTGTCTTCCCTTCCGTCCAGAGCGGGAAGCGTGCGGAATCGATTGATTAAGATCGCCCATAAATGGACCTCTGGAAGGTACGCCTACGCTATTCAACGTTTACCGTTGCACAGCACATTGCGACCAATCTCTTGGTAGCACGACATCATGTTCTAGCCAAGACGTTACTGTGATATCGCAACATGCTTTGCGCCTTCTTTGCACTTGATCAAATTGTGTCGCGGCAATTGTGGGCTTCATTAGAGACAAGTCGAGGTTGACTCTCAGCTTTAGCAACCACTATCGTAGGTTATTGACGCGTCGTTCTGAGCAAATCCATTGCCGGATTGGGGAAACTGGAGAGAACATAACTAAAGGCTGTGGCAGTGATAGGTGAGAAAGGTCCGGTGAAAGCTTGTAAGCCGTCAACGGTGAGACATTCTCTCAGCTTTTTGGCTCTAAACTTTCAGCTTCCAGCCACGCAAGTCGGGTAACCAGATGCGTCGATTAGGCTTCATTAAAGATGCGGGGAATGATCATCTGTGGCATATAGCGAGCATATAATCCGTATTTCGTTCGAATAGCATCCGTCAAAGTTGGCACATCACGGCATTTAGGGTTCATCAAGCTGAATGTGAATGACTGAAAACATCTTTGGAGAGGTTGGTACCAAATTACAGCACGTAGTATCGAAATGAGGGTTGGATATCCTTCGGCTATATCTATCTGGTAACTATTCACATTCTCACGACAAATCTCTATCAACTTGCCCCCCCCCCCCCCCAACTTTTCAAATTCACTTCTTCTGAAGAAATCATCGAGTGCCTCATCAAAGTCTCAATATGGGCGGAACAATCACAAGAAAGAACATCCGCACATTGTCTACAAAGGAGCTCGACGACCTCGTCAGGGCATTCCACGGCATCCAACAGCTTCCCCCTCATGATCCCAACTCCTTCTTCACCATTGCCGGTTACCATGGCGAGCCTTTCAGGGGTGCTGGATACGCCAATCCTGCTTGGTGGGGTGGTTACTGCAACCACGGCAATGTCCTCTTCCCAACTTGGCACCGCGGCTACCTCCTGAGGCTCGAAAAAGCTCTCCAGAGCCAGGTCCCCGGTGTAGCTCTGCCCTACTGGGATGAGACCGAAAAGGAGTCCCTGGAGCACGGCATTCCTCCCATCTTCCTGCAGAGAAAGTACAAGTTCTCCGACACTGGCAAGGAGATCTCCAATCCACTGTTCTCGTACACGTTCCAAGCCAGAATCCAGGATAGGCTCGATCCTATCCCGGATGCCGACTACACCAAGCCTGTGGGCTATGAGACCGTCCGCTACCCATTCTCGGGGCTTGTGGGCCCGAAGGACAAGAACAAGACCTGGGTTCACAACAATTCGCTGCATGAAATGGGAGAGAAGGCCACGAACAAGATGCTCAATGACAACATTACCACCTGGCTCACCAAGTCTTCTTTCTTGAACAGCGACGGGAAAAGGCAATCTGCCGGAGTCAAGGATAAGTATTACCACTGCCTCGACGCTCCCAATTACACCGTGTTCTCCAATACGACTTCGGCGCAGCAATGGAACGACGAGGGCCTTCAAGAGCCCGGGTTCAAGTCCGTCGTACCACTCGAATCCCCGCACAACTTGATTCACTTGGCCGTCGGCGGTTTCGACCTACCTGGCAGCAACTCTGACCAGATCGGCGACGCAAACGGCGACATGGGCGAGAACGACACGGCCGCCTTTGACCCAATCTTCTACTTCCACCACTGCTTCATCGACCTCATGTTCTGGCGGTGGCAGAAGAAGCACAACAAAGAGCACTCACTCGAAATCATCCAGGGCTACCCCGGCACCAACTCCGTCGACAATCAGGGCCCAACGCCCGGCGTGGCGGGCGGCACCTGGCTCACCCTCGACAGCCCCCTCGACCCATTCAGGAACCCTCACGGCGCGGACAAGGCAATGACGTCCAGAGACGTGGTCAATATTGCCGAGCTGGGCTACGCATACGACTACCCCGAACCCCCGACGCGGGTCGGCGAGCCTCATGGTCCGAGTCCCGTGTTGACCGTTAGCGGCATCAACCGCGCCGCCATCGGGGGTTCCTTTGTTGTTTCCGCCTGGGCCACGTTGAAAAGCGGAGAAAAGGTGCTGGTCGGGACGGAGGCCGTGCTCAGTCGTTGGCACGTATCTGGGTGCAAGAATTGCCAGAACCATTTGGAGGTCAGAACACATATACCGGTTGAGGGCTGGACGAAGAAGGATACGGACAAGATGGAGTTTGAAATTGGGCTGCATACCCGGAATTTGAGCGGTGTTCCCAAGGACGGGCGTGGCGAAGGGGTTCAGAAGCCGAGGTTCAGCCTTGAGACTGATCATTTGTAGTTGTTCCTTGCAGAGATTGGCTGAACCCTTTTGTCTTCTTAAGGCTTCATTACTAGACCTGGCACTACGTTTCACAAAAGTATCCTGGCTTTTTAAATCTGGTCCTATCTCCATAGTAACTACTGCGAAGTGGCCTTATGATGTTGAGTCCTGCACATGTGCCACAAAGTGACAGTGCGACATTGCAAATGTGAGGTGCCCTGGCTTCCTTCTGAGGATTGGCGACTCACTGAGGATCCATGCGATCATAATGCCAAGATGTTGGTGTTGGATCGCTCGTCTTGAAGCATGTAAATGGACACTTACATCTAGGCCGGCATACCCTCTCTATCTTACATTGCCTTGTGCCGAACGGGCTGCGCCTGCAGCGTTTACGAATCGCAAAGCCTGCTCTCAAAACGCTTTCGCAAACAGCCCTTCAATTAGATCTACTGGCAAGACTTGGCGGGAACTGAGGGTTTACTCCAAAGTCACAAGCTTGAGGCTGATAACTTACAGGGGATACGGAACTTTAGAGTTGCTGTGATCTGCGATCATCCCAAAACCAACTACCTACAGAGGCTTGATCTTAAACTTGACAAAGACCCCAAATATCCGGTACGAAGCTTCCATCCTCATGGACGAGCTTTGGCATTATACTTACAGGCTACTAACTCATGCAGTTGCTGTTCGTTGCCTAAGTACTGAGGCGAGCTGACATCTTGACACAGCATTTGATGTTCTCTTTTGGTTGGTGCTCCCCCCTCTGATTCGTTACTGTCAGGTCCACCCGTCTTATTCCCCGCACGTCAAGACGATGTTTGTTCTCAACACACTCAACACTTCGCAAGGATGATGGACCCAGTCGAGAATATTCCTAAACCAAGCCATACCACATCCCAGTATGATTTTCGACAGACCGTCCAAACCTTGGACCCGAAGTACGTGCCGTCGGCAGAATGCGGCGCTCTGCGGAGAAGGCTAGTCATCGTGGGCGACGTTCATGGACGAGCATCACAGCTGCAAAAGCTCCTGGACAGAGTCGGCTTCGATAAAGATGCGGGGGACTACCTAGTTTTTACCGGTGATTTGGTCAACAAAGGCCCCGACAGCGCTGGCGTGGTACAGCTCGCGATGGACCTCGGCGCCAGCTGCGTCAGGGGCAACAACGAGGACCGCGTGCTGGCTGCGCGTGGGTTCATTGAGCGCGGCAGGGTCACTGGGTCTACGGGCGATGACGGGAAGATGGTTTTCGAAGACAGCAAGGAGAAGTTGCCGGCGGATATCCCGTACGCCGTGTCGAGCGACTACGTCACTGCGACGCAGCTTTCTGAGGAGCAGGTATCGTGGCTCTCATCGCTGCCTCTCATCTTGCACATCGGACCTTTCAGAGGCGCCAAGAGTCCTCCTTGGAACTCTGGGACTGTGGTGGTCGCGCATGGTGGTCTGGTACCGCTGCTACCGATGGAGGAGCAAGATCCTTGGGCTGTGATGAACATGCGCAGCCTGGTGTATCCGATCGACGGCGTCCACCCGGACAACGTGGAAGTTGCTCTTGCGAAGAGGATCAAGAGCCGTCTGTGTCGACATGCGGCATTTCAGGTCGCCAAGGGCGAGGGACTCGATGGTGAGCTGGCACGAGTCTTAAGTCTGTGGGATGGTAATGAGGTTTCAAAGATTGCAACAAATC